CAGTGGCGTTCTTGTTGTCATTTCTTAGCAAGTCAGAATGCTTGAAAAGGAATGTATGCACACTTAGATTGTGTACTCTGTGTTGAACATAGAAGTTCTTTTTCTTTGCCTCCCGCCAAGTAGGCCCAATCTCTCTCCATCTCGTACTGTATCACTTGATTTGTGTACATTGTGAGCTTGGCAGCGATCAGTGAAGCTCACTTCACTGTATCTCGCTGTGCGATGTTGATGATGATTTACTGGCGGCGAGTGGCAAAAAGGGATTGACCAGTAAGTTTCGGTTCGATTTCAGTTTTTACAACCATTTAACCAGTAAAGTAAACGTAAAATATCTAGATGTACTGAAAACACCATTGCACTATAATGGTCCACAAAATGTGAACATGGTAAGACTTACTGTACGCGGTTTGATAGCTTGTTTACATTCCACTCCTGGCTGAGCGGCAGCGTCATTCATACTACACTCAGAACCGGGTGTACGGAAATGCAAATGAGATTGGCTACAAGTTGGTGTGCAACAGATTGGAACTGGTGTATTGTCCAGCATCTGCACGCAGGTATGACCTAAAGAGTTGAATGGTAAGGGCAGACGGGAAAAAATGGGCGAATTTCCGGCGGAGAATTCAAGTGAAACCGTCAATAAATGTGAAGCCATGCCAACAGTCGAAACCACTGTCATCATGACAGAGAGAAGTGGAGATGGTGAGAGAATAAAGTGGACCTAAGCAGTACATGGTCCAATTGAACGTACACTCCTCAACCGGGTTGAGAAAGCGAAGGACCTCAAATAAAAACACCAATATTTGTGCATTTTGTGCCTTCATCCCACCGACAACGGGAATTTCTGGAACCCAGTGAAGAAGACAGGTGCAACTATTCTCCGTACAGTTCCTCTTGCGTCATCAATCCATAGCTTCCTCAAACTAGAATCCTCAAGGGCAAACACGGTTCGGTGCGACAGCAACTACCAGGTGCGCATGATACTTTCTAGTAATAGAGAGCAACAGACATAGAATGGTTCAAGGCTCAGATGTTGCTCATCTGCGATTAAATTACCGACAGTGGAAAGCCGCCAACAGAAGGATCTTTCACAGGCCAGAACTGACGGTATATGCGACATTTCTATGTCGGGAACTGCGTCTAGGAATCGCTGTTCGGAAAAGCGAGAGGTTTGCTATTTTCATTATGTCATTTTTTGCATGTATTCGAACAGACATGAGCGTTGTCAACGTCGTCAACGTATTGCCCGTGTGCTCTACGGAATTATTTGCCGCTCCCCAACTCCAATTTCGACACTCACCTGGAGTATTGCAAACATTTGGCGGACGAGGAATAGCAACATGACCGTCACGCTGAAATCAAACCGAAGAACGGGAGGAGAGAAATTCGGATCAATCGAATGAATATTTTCCGGCAAAAAAATTAGTGTGATAACCGCATCCCACCCGATTCGACAAAAATAAACCGTGACTGTGACCCATGGAAACTAAAATGAGTGTAATGAATGGAATAATACAAGCCGGAAACCAACGAGAGCCGTTTTTAATTAAGCACACGTGAACTGTCTTGTTTCCCCCAGGCCGTTTCTAAGGACTGAAAAAGATAACAGAACGGTCAAGGAAAAGTGAACGAAACTGATGCCAGATGACGATGATGATGATGACAAAGTTGAGGATACCGTCTGAGATGAATCATCGTGGCACACATTCACTGTTTTATCATATCTGCTACCGTAAGACGAAAGAAGTTGAGTGAAGTGTCAGTAAGCATACAGAAAACTGTCAGCACTTGCCAACCTGAAGCATCAATGGCGCCGTCACCCTATCCACCTGTCCATGAAGGGTCGAGTGTTTTTGTTGTTGCTGTTCGGCTGATGGTGCTATGTTGTGTCTGGAATTGGCTGTTACGCAAGAAAGGTGAAGGTCAGCTGTGTTCGAACATTGCTGTTTACGGTGCGCTGCTCGAGTCCGGTGGAGCAACATTACCGGTAACACAGGGTTTTAGGTTACCTAGTGAAGCAAGTGCTCAACATTCATGGAATAAGATCGCTGAGACATGTGTCACACATGTCATCAGACCGGCTTCCTTGGTGTGCGATGTTGGCCGAGGGGGGAAGTGCGTGGAAGAAAGTAATGGGTGGTTAGGTTAGGAGGTGGAATAAGGGTAGGGAAACCCCAGAAGGTTGCCCCCGAAGCGTGCATCATAAAGAAGTGTAGGTGACGTTTACAAGTGAGTTCGAATCCTGGCAAAGCTATTGATCTTTGCGCAATTTAAATGCCCTCCGTTAGTTTCAAAATTGAAGACCAAATGACAATGATGCACCGGTACTAAGAGCCCCGATCCCCACCCCATCCCTGAACAGTCATCTTCGGGACAAGTAGGATCTGCGTTATCTGGCTCCAATCGATCGTGTGGAACGCCTGTTTCAAATATTATTGCTGTGTACAAAACAAACCGAAACCAATTAACACACCGAGCATGCGTATCGATCAACCACACACAGTGAAGAATGAAACGGTTGAGGAAGTTACAAAAACCGAAACCTTTTGCGTGGCAAAAGAAAAATAAATAGAATTGTGCAAATCCAGAAGAGAACACATAAGAAGTTCTGATCCGCTTTGAGCAATCACGTTCGCGAAAAAGGCTTACGGAGAAACAACAAGAGTGTACACGCCTGACCACGGGTAATTCGATCATACTTGGACGTTCAAAACTAGGATGATAGGGAAGATGGGAACACCCCGCAGGTGGTCCAGTCGGTGGTGTAGGCTCAGGCCCCGACGAAGATGAATCCAGAACGTGAAATATGCAGGAAGTTGGGTCGACACGCTTGGAATGACTGGAATTGGATCGGCTTGTATCCCTTGGCACTAAGGTGCTCTGTTCCACCGGACTGAATACGCAACGACGATAGGTCAGGCCACTGATACGAGATTCATTTGCCCGTCGGGTATTCAGCAATGAGAATGAATAAGCGCAAGGAGTAAGCCGGTCCGTCAGGGCCAAGTGCTGCGGACGTCTAGCTGAATTCTGAGTTTTCCTTTCCGGACTCGAGCATGATCGATGAATCGATCCGGTCGATGGAACGGACAAACGAATGGCGGAATGATCAACCCGCAACCCTGATTCTGTAAAACAGGGTTCAACAAATTCAGTCGAATGTCTGGGACTGTGTTGTCGATAGCATACGGTTGGATTAAGACACCAGGAGCAATTATGACAAGGGTTGCTTATATTCATCGCCGAATGAAGTGGACAGGCATTTGACCAAGCTGGTAGATCTAATCGATCAGAAACAGCGGAACGGCTTCGTATTGGATGAACCTTTATTTCGGAATAGGCGATGACAGAAATAGGTGATAATCGACTAACATTCGGTAGGGCTGGAGACAGAGATTGACGTGTGGAGAACTTCTGTGCATACCAGCGCAAATTCGACGTCTGACAGGAATTGGTTTCCGGCCATGACTGTTTTTTCGGTGATAGGACATGCACATCTNTAACGTACATTCGATTACGTGGACCCAGATCGGGCGCACTGAAATACAACATTCCAATGTGCGTTAGAGGAAATCTACCCGGTTTCAGATGCATATATACTTTGCTCGGAAAACGTGGTGAATGTTGTCGATTGCAGTTACGGTTCTGATCTAGCCGTACACGATGAAAACGAACCCGAGGGGAATCGCGGTGTCCGAGGGTCGAAAACGGTTCTGTCCGCCTCAGTCGTAGATCATCCAACGAACCAAGAGGTGCAGACCGAGGAGAATGAGATCTGAGTGAACCGTTGCGGCGCGGTGGACCGCAAGAACAAAGTTTACCGGGTGGTCGAGTAAAACAAGCATGAAGAATGCTGGACATGGTCCGTCTTACGGCTGGTTGTGAACCTCGTGGTCGTGAACTGTGCGAATCAACGGACTGACAAACAAGACGTGCGGAACTCAAGCTGGATAATGCGTCGATACTGCTACCGAGTTGGACACCAGATACGGAGTCGTGGATAGAATATGCAGATACAGTACCGTATGATTGAGAACAAGTGCAGAGATCATTCAGTGATCGGGATGGACGAAGGTTGTGGAAAAACTCACTGTAGAATGATTATTTCAGTTGGAAAGTCATGATGGACGATACAGGGTAGAATGGGAGCGGGGGGACGAGAAAAAGTGGCAAGGTAAATAGGAAAAAGCGGAGAGATAAACCACCGTTTGCATAAAATAAAAAAGATTTATCTATCAAACAAACAACTGGGCTAATGGAAAACAAGCAACTATTAACCTGAGAGAGTGGATTGATCATGTTATTGGACACATTTGGCGTAGACGATGAGCGTTCGCGTGTGGTCAGTGTCAAATATTGCCGGCCCGGATGTCCCCCCGGGGAAGCGAACCCTGTGGGGATCAGGCTTCCGTGGCCATGTGTCGCTGCCATAGCGGCATCCAACCATTGACTCCCGCCACCAGTGCTCGCAGGTAATCGCATAGTCGCATCACCTGGGGTATAGCGATACCGCATATGTCCACCGGGTAGGGTGTTCGCGGCGTTGGACGGTGAAAGCCAGTTTGAACCTAACTGGGACAGGCCGATGCTGGAACCGAGGCAACTAACGGGAAAGCACGAAGTCAATAATGGGTACAAATGATCGTAAAAGACAAAAATACATCAGGGCGGATAAATGCGAATCGAGGGATCAGAACGAATCAAACTTCTTTGAATTGGGAAAGGATAAGACCAGAAGGCTGATTGTTTTAGATATCGTATTTTTAATTTTTCCTCACATAGATTAAAAGACTTTACGTTACTATTACACACTATTACACATGCATTGGTGTAACACGATATCCAAAAGTCATCAGATTAATTCAGGCTTCACAAAATAGATCTGATCAATACGGAGATTTTGAACATGTTAGAGCAATATTCATTTTAACTCAATTGAAAACACCTCAAGAGGTATGTACCAGCTCAGGAGGCCAGTGAAAATGATCGTTTTTTTGTTTGTAGGTCAACGAGCCGTTTCCATCATACAGAGAATAGATACAATAAAATGGATGAACTCTGCAGTTGGCAACCTGTTGTGAGATGAGACTGTGCTCGGAAGGCTAACGTGTTTGACACCTAAGTAAACATGGACAGGTTTCGTCTATCTGAAGATAGAGTGTACAGCGAGAAGGTTGATCCGGGACCGTTCAAACTATCAAAAGCGGTAAACGACGAGATCTATTTGATGATACTTAGGTGTGATAAACAGTGGAAAAAGCAAACTCCATTGCCAAGAGAACCCGTTGTTTGATTGAAGTAGCGAAGAGGCTTAGAGTGGAGAGCCAGTAAGGCTTTAGATGTTCCTGACATTTTGTAAAACTCAGCCTTGTGTGGATTACCATAATTCGTTGTCGGCGAAGAAACCTCAGACAGGCTCAATGAATATTATGGAAGCCATTCGGTTAGACTACTTAACCCCCAAATGGGGTTGCCAAGGCTTACGAAATTATTTCCTTTTGCAAAAGCAGCTTGCTCGCGAGAACAGTTCCAGCGCTCAACTTATTTTTTGAATACAGCTACACTGCGTGCAGTGTGATATTTGGCAATATAAGATTGACCTGTAATTCTAGGGTTGTTATTTAGAGCCCCTTCGCCTGAGACGTCTTTTGCAAACCACTACCGATTTCACATTACTTTTTTCAATTAGAAGTCAATAACCTTGATGAACTCAACACGGAAACACATTTTTGATGTGTTTAACAACCCGGTAACGCAGTCCGCACGGCGACTTAAATTATCGTACACAGACCAGACCAGATTATCTTTCTGTGAATGCTCGGGAAATTCGATAGATTGAGGGAGAGTACTTCACGTATAGCCAAGAGGATAGTTACGAAAAGGATTTGAGAAAGGGTGCATGTGGTTACTTACTGTCGTACACCTTGTTGATCGCTGGAATAAAACACATCATCATCTGGGACTGGTAGACAGGTTTTATCCACACGGGTTACACACCGTTGGTGATACATGGAACCGCAGCATTTGCAAATCACACCTGAAGGGAAACAAAGAGAACAGAAAGCGGCTTATTACAAGACGATCGGGGGATTAAAAACACAAACGGTGAACCGGTCACCCCATGGTGGAACCAAACAGACAGATCGAAATGGATGAATAATCCGCGTAAAACTGACCATGAAAAATGAATTTGTGGCACAGATTGCAGCGCGCTTTCTCAAAAAATGTTTTTCGTTGAAACTGATGCTCCGATCGTTTCAGGTTACGCCGCGCGAAATCCACCACCAATTCCTCCCCCAAGCGAGCAATAGACACTGCATCGTCTTCCCATGAGACAGGTAATCTGGAAAAGAATGCGTAAATAGGTGTAATCACATGAAGAGAAATAGGTGGACAACAAACAGTCACTAGGAGACTGAACAATGAGAAATAACATTCAAAAACTGTGGATAACGAGGAACATCTTACCCCATCAATTTGTTTCATTTTATCTGTGAGGCTGACACAAATAACACACATTGTGAGGTGAATAATAGGGTTCGTGTTGGTTTTACCAATCCGTTTCTACAATTTTTCCCATTAAACAACGAGAAGGAATGATTCCACACCTTTCGGAAGGATCGTCAGGTGATTTAAAAAGTCCATCTACCCGCTTGGGATCATACTTTGGCGAGAACGATAATGATCAACAATGTCAACACTGAGAGATGCTACAGGTCAGAAATCACATGATCGAGCACCGTTCATTTCTGATTAGATCTTATATACTTAAGGTAACTGCTACCACAGTACTGTTGTATGGATAGCATACTTGACCGGTTCGTACCAAAGAAGCTCACGCGTTAGTTTAGTCTAGCAACCGTTATCTCTGTACAACTGCTGGCGTTTGTTCGGAAGACGCAGATCAAACACAGCAAAAGATGTTAGATCCGGGTAGGCCCAACCTAGAAAATATCTCACCACATCATTTCTGATGGCTCGAACTAGTGTTGAGAATACCTGTTTAATGGTTTTTGCTACAGACCATATTAGTGTTAGAAAACAAGCAGTTACGAAGCAACGCACGGATCTAGTGGAAAACTGGACAAGCTATGTTGAGGTTAGGTGACATCTATTAGATAATCAAGGTCGAGCACTAGCAACAGCGCCTGACTACGATCGCTGTGTCTTGTGTTGTGTATATCACTGGATAGGTGTTCTAAACCAGTGATACTTGTTGGAGTAGACAATAGTCCAAATAAGGTCAAGCGTACCAAAACCTTGATTGGAACACTTGGTCTTGCATACATGCAGCTTTATGATTCCTGAGACATTGGGTTAGGTTGAATCAAAAGTGAGAGAAACTGAAACGTGGCGTCTTAAACAGTGCTGCCAGTGCACCTACTCACTTAGTGCTTATGCCCGGTTAACCTATGATCCAGCCTAGTACAGCTTTCAGTTTACCATTTAGTTTTACTCTCTTCTTCACCAATCGACCGAATGTGACCGGAAGACTGTAGCGAAAACCGGTGCACTGAATTGCAAATTAATTGGCTGTACAATCTGAGAATGAAACCGATTCGTTTGTGCTCATTCCACCTCAAAAAGGAACTTTATGTCGGTGGGCTAACTGACGCACTATGGAGTGAATTATACATGCATACAACTGATTCCGAGTGATTGAAGTGCGCAGTGATGAACAGCGAGCAAACATTAAAATTACAATAAATGTCAAAACTAATATAGCTGTAGATGTGCTGTATTTTAGCGCCAACACATTATGAGATTTGCGATCGTAAACCACGGGCTTTTGCACTTGCTCACTTCGTGGCATATTACGTAAACAAGAGTAATTAGAATTGGTTGTCTAACGCGGTCCTCTCTAGAAATAACTGTGCTCAGATGAATGAAAAATAACTCCTTTAACAAAAAAGAACGGTCAAAATCCTTTCTGGCAATTGTTACTAGAGGATTGTAAGATCCATTCGTGAAAGATTTTAGACATGCGTGGGAAGGCACGAGTCCAGGCCATCATCCCGTAATAACCCAGTGCCAAAGGGGAGCAGAACGAGTACCGGCTCCGTCTCAACCAGCAGAATGAAATGTTTCCATACGAATCTCCAATGATGAATCTTATTAGTAGAAACAGCAGGATGAGGGCAGACTAGTGGGTGGGTGAACCGAGTATGAACAACCATATGGACACCTACCCGCTACGTGCGCGGTACACAATTAGCTGTTCCAAATGCAAGCCTCGATGCGATAGTTTTTTGCCGAGCACATGCCGTATCTGTTGTCCCGGCCGAATCTCGACCAGGGTGAATTGACTGTTGGGCAGATGGGCACGCAATCGCAACTTGACCAGTCCATGTGTTGTCGGGTCGGTTTGGCTGTGCGGGAGTACAACTTGAGGGGGAACAGGTTTGCCGGACTTGGCCGGATCGTCTCGCGTATACTGCTTGATTTTGGAACGCAACTCTTCCAGTTCCGTTGAATACTTCTCAATGACTGCTTGCACGCAATTGATATCGTTGGAGACTTCATCGTACTCTTTGGTGATTAGACCGGAATAGTCCTCGTGTTTGTTGATCACATTAAGTAACTGATAAGTCTTCGCCTGAAGTGCTTTGCTTACGAGATTGAAATTTCTCAGCTGCAAAAAAAAATCGGGAGAAGGATGGATGCTCAAGTAAGCTGACCAAATATACTAACTCATTAGAAAATATGGGAGAAATAAATGATATGAATAATGCTCAAGTAGTTAAAAGATGGCTTACACAGTAAGCCAGTCCATCGTGCTGATCAGTTCAAGTCGGATGAGTATTGTAATGATTCCGTTTCTCGTTTGGGTGTTTTTACTTTCCCCATTATTCACGTTTCACAAACCTACACCCTTTTGATGGTTTAATCGGACAATTCAAAGTTGTATCCATTGCATGAGTCAAAGATTTCGATGAACTAGGAAATCCGTTGCCCTGTTCCTTTGAAACAGATTGCTAAAACACGGTCTGGTAGATATGCATTCCAGTTGATGATTTTCAACAAATCGGATAAAAAACTAAACAGTGCTGTCAAAGCTTTTGTGATACGTGCCAAACTGACTTTAGATGGTAAATCCATCCTTCATTGAGAAACTTAAAATTTCCAGGATATACCCATTCCGGCATGACAAGATACGTTCAAAGGCCAACAGTTGTTTTCATTGATTAATATCCTAGTCCATGCAGATCATATAAGGAAGTGACATGTTGAAAAACCATAGACATTCAGTAGCTCAAAAACTGCTTAGCCGCTTTTAACATATCACTTCCTTATACGATATGTGCAGGTTAGAAGACGAATCAATGAAAACCATTTTTCGCCTGCGAACGTACGTTCTGAAACTGAAAGTTATAAATAAACTTTAGACCGAAAATCACAATAAACAGCTCTAGATCCAATCGTTTTTTTCATGTGTATATAAACGAGCTGTTTTATGTTAAACAGACGATACTTTTAACTAAAATTTTGCATTCTCTATCACTCTCATAACTGTACAGGTGGCTTCAATGTCCAATTCTTTGACCAAGTTAACCGGATTACTGTCAAACACTTGGTGGCTTGCATACTCAATCGGTCGTTGAATGATTATGTTGCCACCACAGTTTATTCGCTACTTCGCCTGGTTTTCTGATCATCCTGGGGGTTGCATGCACAATAACGAAGTTGCGTGGCGGTGGCAGGTTTTGAACCACGAACGCACGCTAGTGACAGCGACTTGAATTATCTGATTACTAACACTGTCTGGATCGAATTGGAATTCGTCATGTATCCCAGGATGTATTTATTATGTATTCTCTTACTACCCCTCTTCCGTTCCTTTAATGGTGGATAAGTCCAAGTTCCCGTCCGCAAGAAACGTTCTCAATGAATGCATCTCTTGAGACATCAAATTGAGAGGGGCAATAGCTGATTGAAGAACCATGTGTATTTAGCTCATTTCTGTAAGCTAGAGAATCCTGATTACAAATCTACCAAAAAGAGGGGTGCAAACCAACATTTGGATATCCATGTCGTAAAGGTCAAGCTCTCGACTGGGCACCTTGAACGTTTGAACAGCGTCCTAAGGATGTGAGATCCGGGTGTGGCATTCTGTTTATGTTTCATTGTTTCATTGCTATTATTGACTGATGTCAGTAATCAAACTCTATGCGGACAGTCTTCCCTGTTTCCTGCTTTCCTATTGGTTGACTGTAATCTGTCTTTGTCTTGGCGGCCGGTCATCTTAGTTTGCCTTCCGTTTGCTCTGACCACCACGCATTGGTGCTGATTGTTAGACTGGTACCGGTCAAATTACTTCGAATGTACGTTTCCTTTCGATTTCAACCTTTTTTGTTTACCATACTGTATGTTAACGTATTGTTTTATTATTACAGAACGACCAAAGACAAGAATCCGAGACGTTCCGACTATCTTCTGATATTGATTTTGACCTCGCCGTGCGTGTATTTGATCAACGACTAGCAAAGTACCATACATACGAATCGCGTAGCAACACCGGGTTTTTAATCGACTGCGGTCTTTAGGCACCGCACCGCTACCTTTCCGATTAGACTTGGTAACTAAAGGCTCCAGTTGTCAAGCCCGACGAAAATCACTTGGTTTCGCTCAATCAACCTGACATTATCGTCATACAGACACTGGCTAGACCGAAATGAGCGGGAGTATAGAGCAGCCCTAATCAGGAAACCTTCAGGCTTACACTAACAGCAGTTACTGACTGCAGCAACTCATGGTTTTCTCCGAACAATCACCAAGTATACGATACAGAGGTGTAAATTGGCTAAGCTGTAGTCACAGTAATCCTGTATGTCGCGACGTATCTACGTAATTTAAAGTTGAAAAACAGGTGAGTGACTTCCGTTTTAGTATACTATTTCTGCTGTCTTCTCGACTAAATCAAGCATTTTGCGACTTACTTTACTGTCCAACAGGCTGCAACGTTGTTGCAATATTGAAACCACCGTGGCATCGTTGTCTGTAGTCATAACGCAGAAAGTGGCAAGTGATGACGAGACGCAGTCAACGGAGAAATTCAGAGTACGAAATTTTTTAATTGACTAATCCGCAAAATGAGAGGACGCTGCAAATAACAAAACAGAATTCTGTGAGTTATACAGTGCATATTTCTGGTCGATACAGCGTTTAACAAGTTATTCACTGTCAAGTCCAGGCTGCACTTCATTGGTTCTTTGTGGACAGAATTTTATTATTTTATTTTTTTTTAATTTTACATCTAAGTGTGATGAACAGCAGAGGGGCAAACCCCATAGTCCCAAGGACCTGCCGCTCAGTGGTGGAAACCGGCAATCTAAGCCCCGGGATTTACAGTGGTGAACCACGTAAGGCCCCAATAGGTTAGGCGTGGTATTGAATCGAACGACAGCAGAGCTGCCTACCACCAAAGTCGGGTGGCGGGGCTCGAACCTCGAACTATAGGGTCCAAAGCACGCCGGTGACAGCGATTAAACCACTGCTCCACTACCACCCTTCTGGTTTGGCGAACACGCCATTAAAATGAATTTAAAGATATGGCATTTAGTAAGCAGGCAATGATGATGAAGAACAAGAACGCGTAGCAGAAGTGTAAGCTGCAGCATGAATTTACATGAGATTGTATCTCAGTTCATTTGATAGTTGTCTCCTAGAAACTAATAAGAGAGAAAAATTAGATACAACAGCATTGTGAAAAGTTGTGGTGCGAGTGTCAAAAGGTTTCAATTTATTGTCATGTTTGATTATCAGTTCCTGACAAGCACGGCGAAAAAACGAATATAACAAAATTCATTAGACAGTAACCGCTCGCTCGTGCGTATGTGCCATGGTGCATGTGGTATTCTTTACATATGATTTAAAACGGCATGGTACATGAGGGTGTTGAGCGATGAGCATTTAAAAAACCATTAGGCTAGACAGCGTGTAACTGGATTTAAGTCTCATACCACATTCACCTTGTGGCGGACCGCCGGGTATAAACTACAGCTATCCGACGTATACACGCTGACTAATCCTCCTGCGGTAGGGTCTCAGATACGAACCATCATCATCATCATTCATCATTATACAGAGTACTACAGTAAATCGAACTTCGCTGATCGCTATCAAACAAATATTGAATACCAGGTAAGTGAGAATGTGTAAGGAGGATAGGGATTCGGCCTATTTTAGGGATGGGAAAAGAGAGGAAACCTCTATGGTCAACACAGAGTACACATTCTGATTGTGCATTCACACGTTTTCAAGCGTTCTAATCCGATAAGAAGGATTGCCACAGCTGTCCGTTTGCTGCCATGACCCTCAGTGTATACGACCATCCAGTTACGGAGTCTTTCGGGCCCCAAACCGGAAGACGAGAGACACCTACTTGACTGAATTGCTCTGTGCATTTCTTCATGCCTCGTTTTCACGTCATTTTCTGACCTCCACGTGGCTTTCTCCAGTCTGCAGCGGCCACTGCAAATAAGGCTCGGTGTGGTAGGCAACAGTTAAACATACACAAGACGTGTCCTAACCAATTGAGTCTATTGAGCTCAGTTCAATGCAATAGCGAGGTCGTGTTTGATGCACTCTCAAACACCTGACGACTTCTAGGTTTTCAGTCCTCTCACCCCATCCAACCTGACCAGACTACGTAAGCATCGATTGTCAAAAACCACTAGGCGACGGATGTTTTCTACTGGCAAATTCAAGGTCTCAACAGTAAAGCAGAACTGATCGCACAGTGGCATAGTATACGCAACTTTTCAACTTCAGTGAAACGTCACGTCAACGATACAGTCCTGCGTACGCTGTTCGAGCCTTTATCTCCTTTGGTGCGCTACCGTCGTTGGTCACGCAGCTATCCAAATATGAGAGGCAGTCAACTTCAGTTAATTCCGTCTAGTTTCAGACCGAGACGGGACACTCAGTCTTGCAGCATCCCTTTTCACTTTGATAGTGTACAGCGCATGCCGAACGAAGCAACAGAACTTGCTAGTCTGTTAAGTGCGCTTTGTGTACCGGATACGAATAGAAAAAAACGACTGTTTTTACTAACCAATAGCAGGTATGTTGCATTGGAGTTTTGTTTTGTTTGTCATTTCAAATCCCAGAGTCAGTAGTTCCCGACAAAAAATCTATTATTCCGCCGCGGAAAGACAACTAGTGTGCTGGATGCGTACTGGGACAAAACACTAGCCGATGTCTCAGAAGGGATCACACTGCCTATGCAGACACAGGATAAGTCTTACTCTCACCCCCATCCTATCACTAAAATGTTACAGCCGACGATAATCCGCTCACTAGCAAAAATATGCTTAAGAGGACGGTCGGCTTAAAATCAGGCTGCAGTTTTATCGATCACAAGTTCATCTTAAAACAGACAATCGAGCTGCGTCGCACACATTCATGGCCAAGGATCTTGCACGAATCTGGTAGGGCAACCGGACGAGCAATGCTGAGGTTGGGTGCAAAGTCGAGGTAACCGCAGTCACTGACTGGAACAAGTGGTCGATCTCCATAGACTACGTTGGTTGGAACATTTGTTATGCGTGTCTCCAAATAGGCTGCCACGGCGCGCGATGCTGGCCGAGAAAAAATCCAATGGTAGTCAAATTGAGATCTGGCACGAGGATATGAAAACTCTAACCACGAGACTCGATCATACAGGTCGCCTTAGGTTCCCTGGATGGGGACCTCGGGATCATTGTAATCAATGGTCAGACAGAGTGAAATGGCTGAGTGTTTTAAACAGTGGCGTTTGTGCATCTCAATTTCTTTGCAACCTTAGTTCACTGAAATCCTCCATTTTCTCTTCGACTCTACTTCCAACTTTCATATTTCTCTTACTGCCTACTGGGCAGCCAAAAGACAGCAACCCAACCCGGCGCACGAAAGTGCATGGTTAATTGTTGTACAAACCGGAACTGAAAATAGGTCTAATCCCTGACCAACTTACATATTCTCAATAACCTTGTGTGCATTGTGAGCTTGGCAGCGATCAGTGAAGTTCACGTTACTGTATTTTGCTGTACGGTGACGATGATGCTGTCTTTTGGTTGCTTATTTAGATGAAGGGGTAGAAGGAAGGCTGGAATGTTAAAAGTAGTGTGAAGGTCGAAATTGCGAACTGCCGTAGACTACGGTTGCAGGGACAACTGGTAGATGCCCGAGCGCTACTATTTACGACAATCAGACATAGCACTCCGTGTCTCTAAACACCAGTTGCGATTTGTCAGAGGTCATAAATCCAGAAAGCCTAGGGCAACTTGGTCAGGGCTTTACCACCCTTGATTTTTTTCCATCCATCACCTGCCTCGGCAAACATCGCACACCACGGCAACCTATTTGGTGACATATATAACACACCCCAACCAGCGTAATCCATGGAAGTTAACCACTTGTTCCAGTGGGCAACTACAATCACTTAAAACTGTACCTAACCTCGATATTGTTTGCCCGGTTTCCCCATTAGACTCGTGCAATGCTGCGCAAACAGTAGTGTTTGCCCACCGACAGTCTTTCGTTTTCGCAATTTTTTTGCATCGTACAGCAGCATTAGTCGAACCACTGCAGCGTATACTCGACCCTTCACAAACAACAAGATGTCGTGACGACGCCTAAAGTTGGCAAATACAAGTTCGAGCCGACCCTTTATCTATGATGCATCCGCCGGGTGAGACTTTTTTTCTTTTTCATTCTACTTCTTTTTATTGAATACACAAAGATACAATTTTCAGGAAGGGAGAAGCGGCCAATCAAGGGGCTGCATACAATACACAAATGGGGAAAGTCAGGCGGTGGTGGTGGGATTCGAACACTCGTCCTCCGGGGTGATAATTGGTGACGTTACTACCGGGCCACCACCGCCCACTGGCTTTATCACTTCCCCAGTCACTGCGAAGTTGGGAGCTTAACCAACCAAATTCAATAGTAACGTTTTTCACTGTGAGTGCGAAACACACACTAAACATGAAGACACTGGCACCCAAACTATCCAGAAAAGCTTGCAACCCGCCTGAATCCATATTTAGCGGTACAATGTCGTCTGCATACTCCACATAAGACAACTTGTCATTTGGATGTCAATCGGTGTCATTATGCTCATATGAGGACACAGCTGTTTGCAGAATGAAATCTATAACAAGTAAAACAGAAAAGGAAACGGAAACTCCACTCTGTGATAAACTTGGGTAAAAAAAACAGCCATAAGCCAGAACTCCGTTCCGCCTATGAGTATACAGGGATCGTTATATAGAAATAAACTTCTCGGGTACATCCTTCAGGGAGAGGCAGCGCTAGTGTATACAGCGGTCAACTGAATCGAGGGCCGCTTCCAGATCGGGGAAAATAGAGATGGTGAGTCTACGAACAGAATTTCGGTGTTCCGGAATTTGGCAAGAGATGAAAACGTGGTCTACCCAACCCTGACCAGATCAAAAACTAGCTTGATTCCCATACATGAAAACTTCACTGTAAACACCCGATGTAGGATAATTCCAACTAGGAGTTGAGTGACAACATTGACCAAACCACCTCAGCGGTTTTCACAAGAAGACGTACCATTTTTCTTTACTGTTGATTACGAGTTGCGGAAAGATCAACACGACTGACTCGCCTACGTACACCAAACATCGTAAAAGGCAGTTATGCTACACAACTAGACCACGATGAAACGGAGGTATCAAATCAGGACTTTAGGTTAATGCCCACGACAGTCCGGTATCCTGCACTATAGGGTTCCAATGTTCTTTGGTACTCTTTAATAGCTTTTGGTATGGTAATTCTTCCCAAGAGCGTCCAGTGCATTTCCGTTTTTTCTCTGCTTCTCCCAGGGGTCGGGTGGGTGAGCGGAAATTACTGTGGGACAACCTGCAGAGACTGTTACGGAATATAGGATTCTAGATGTGATCAATCACACGCGCGCAATATGAATTTGGCAGCGATCAGTGAAGTTCACTTCATTGTATTACGCTGTACATTGATGACGATGATGATGATGAAACTCTCC